CAGGTGAAGACAATAATCGAGTGGCTAGTGATGTTACACCAAGAAAATTTATGGAAATGGTTGTTTTTGCTGGAAGGTTTGATTGAGTTTTGTTTTTTTTTGATAAAAAAAATTCTAATTCATTATATTATAGTTATATATCAGCTCCAACAAAAATGTTAACAGAAATGGTGGCAGATCAAATAGCACCATCATATTGGGTACCAAATAAAGATGTGAATGTAAGATTTATTATGATACATATAAGAATATGGATTAGTTTTCTTTTTTTTTGTTTTAAAGGAATGTTCGCATTGCAAACTAATTTTCGGATCAGAGCATTCAAAACATCATTGTCGAGGTTTGTTCTATCATTTTATATCATTATTGTAGAAAATCATATCGACTCAACTATACTGTTAAATCTTTCTATATGAGCAAGTTTTTACATGGACCAGTCTATAAACCGATCCAAGGGAGTTTTCACAGGAATGAGTCTCTATTTTGAACAGTGACCGCTTATTTTTGATGCTATGAGCGATAACAACCTCTGAAATGTGAACAACATTTGTTATAACACTCACATACTGAACAATAAAAAAATAATGTTATGTATATTGCGTTATGATAAATAACTATGGGGTACATAACAGAAGCAATAGACTAATGTCCGTGCCAGAAACAAAGAAGGATGTACATATGCTCAATAACTCTAAAATGGAAAGTACGAGCGACCTGCGCTTGAAAGAGGAGAATTCTGGACGTCTTTTGGTGTAATACCATCTGACTTGATCGAATAGATACGTGATTTCACTATTCCATATTGAAATATGAGAACATAAATATCTGAATTGTGCCTTGAACTACAGATCTGGAGTTCTTCTCTTTCGATAACTAAAAAAATGCAGGTCACTAACTATTGTCACTGTCGAGTTCCAGTTTATCTGTTTTTAATTCTGGTGTGTATCTTAGTAGCATCAAATCACATGAACAATTCCATTAAAAAAAATGCTGAATAGAAAAAAAAGATCATGTTCTACAATCGAAACAAAGTGAGCATGTTGAATCGGTTCTGGTAATCTTTATCTTAGCAAGACTTTACTCTATCATAAAGTTTGATAACAATAGATCAATATTTCTTTTATCTTTGTTTAGCATGTGGTCATGTGTTTTGTGATACATGTACAACAAGTCGTCGTGTTGTTCCATGGATTGATGCTGACAAACCTGTTCGTGTATGTGATAAATGTTATGCTAATCCACAATCACGTCCACCTTCAGCAATTCAAAATTCATCTTTATCATTAATAGAAAAAGATAAATCAGATAATCAAAAATCAAAACAAAATGGTTATGATGTTGGTAGTAGCGGAGATTCTGCGAGCACTGCCTCATCCGGTGAGCATCTCAGCGATCTGTGTTTATCTCCATCTGATATTTTCGATATCGAGCACCCAGGAGCAGGTATGCAAAAAACCAAGGGTCCATTTTGTCCTACATTTGCTCATTTATATTATTCCAATTTGTCTTGTTTTCTTTACTTAACCGCTCCTATATGCATGCCGTTCCGTCCTAAATAAAAAAAAGAGATTATTCATTATGTATCTATTTATTTATTTTCGGATTTTTTTTCTACAAAGGGCCAGTTTCAGTGGATATTCCTGCAAGTAGACGAGTTTATGAAACATTTAAAACTGGTCTTGAAAAAATCGGTGTGAATTATCCGATTGGTGAGTATTTGAAAATAATTCATGCGAAAACAAAAAAAAAAAAATAATGTTTTTGTTTGTATAGAACTGATTAAAGAAAGTACTCGACCAAATTATTGGCGACCAGATCATGAATGTCGTGCTTGTTTCATTTGTAAGCGCGCATTTAATAGTACAACAAATCGATTACATCATTGGTATGTAATATTATGAATAAATAAATTTATTGATTGTGTTTCGTCTTTGCAGTCGAAATTGTGGCGATGCTGTTTGTGAACAATGTTCACCAAAAAAACGTCCTGTACCAGAACGAGATTGGTTAACACCTGTACGTGTATGTAAATCATGCAATGAAGCAATGAACGAATCAACAAGTGGACAGAAATAATCAAGAGTAAAAGAAAACCTTGATTATGTTAACTAATATATTTTTCTATGTCATTTGTTTTAAGAATATTATCTTTTTCTATTTCGCTTTTTATTGATACATTGAAAAAGAAAAATAACTTGCAACTTTTTTCTTTTCTTTCTCTACCGATCTTTTGTTCGTTGTTTCTTCTTTTTATTATTATTATTACTGAGTTCTATCTTTCTACCTAAGAACATATACATTCTTTTGTTTTTTTCGTAATATGTTCGAATGTATATTGTTAACTTATTGTATTATTGTTAATAATTTTGCGGAGAAAAAAATATGTAAGTCAGTGTACGTGTTCGATAATTAGCTTCGTTTTTTTTACATATAGAAGAAGAAAAAGTGGGTAAGTATGCATATTTATCATTTGATATGAGGCATATTATACACTCGAATTATTCGAAGTAACGAGTCTTTTTTCAATTTTTTTACCACAAACATTCTCTCACGTAAATAAATAATATAAATCTTCTTCGTTTTACCCATCGTTTTATCAAACTATTCTAATGGATAAAATGAATATTATTCGAACTAAACCAATTATTCATTTGTCAACATATACCCTGGAAACTTCGGATCGTTTTGATAATAATGATAAAACAAAAGATAATTTTGATGAAAATATTCATGAATATATTCATCGTATTTATCAATGTTCAAATCGATCACAAGCTATTATTCTACGTACAAATGCTTTGAAATTTATTGATCAATGGCGTTTACAACGTTTAGAACAACTTGATCAACGTATTCGAACAGCTGGTCAATTGATTTTAGATGCATTTGATGAATATCAAAGTATATATTTTTATGATAATTTTTAGATGCTTATTTTGATTATTTTAGGTAAACGACAATATGTTAAATGTCCACATCGATTAAAACAATCTTTAGATATTTCACATCGTAAATCTTCAGTAATTACTTCAATTACAACAATGGCAAAAGATCAATCTATTGGTTCAAGATCAGATTTATCTTCATCAAAAAGAATTAATTTACTAGATGATCATTATCATTTACAAAAAACAAAACAAAATATTGAAATTTCAATTGATAAACTAAAATCTTCATCATCATCTATTATTCCATCGCCTACTAATAGAAATATTTCATTGAATTCAATCGATTTTGGTCGAGATTTTACATTTGAAACATTAGCAAATTTATCTTCTTTATCTAATGATATTTCTATGACTATTTGTGAAAATAATACTCTTATTTATTCTCAACATTCAAATGAATTAGTCATAGTGTCACTTATAAATCCAAAACATATTGCTATAACACAATTGGATAAAAATTCGTGTATTCATGATTTATGTTATGTTGATTGGTTATTTAAATGTTTAGTTATTGCTGATAAACAAATTTATTTGTTGGACTATCGAACAATAAAACATGATATTATTGATACAGGCATTGGTTATATATGTGGTGCAATAGATAATCATCGTTGTATATTCTATTTAGTAAAACAATCAACATTACATAAATATGATAAAAATTCTATATTAACTCTTCGATCAGATCAATATCCAATTGCTGAAGGATATCATTCACGAAGAATAGCACTTGATAATAAAAAAAATGACTATTTAGCTTTATTAGTTATTACAAATGATCAAAAAAATTATATATTAGTTTATTCAACATTATGTCTTTCAAATGGTTATTTATATAAAATAGTAATAGATGATCATATTGAACGACAATGGATTTGTTCAAATGGAAATGATGGTTGGCTTATTCGAGGAACATATTCTGGTAGTTGTTTTGATTTAAATATTAATGGTCTTAATTCTGTTCGTATATTTGATTGTAATGAAATACGAAATATTATTCCAATGATAGATAAACAGCAACGTTTTATTATTCGTACTAATACTGAAATTTTTGTACTTATTAAATATTCATTTGTTAACTCATTTTAAAATTTTAATAAATAAATAAATAAATAAATAAAATAATTTTTTTTAGATGTTTATGTATAATGGATATTCATCATATGATAGTGAAATTCAGCGACATACGATATGTAATTCACCTTTATCAACTAGTATACCACCAACAGTTGCTGAGAAAATTGCTATGCCTTATTTAACACATATATATGAATTAATAATAAGTAATCGACCATTTTCAGTAACAACAGATAAAGATTTTAAATGGACACTTGAGATATTTGCATTTGGTTTTACATGTGAAGAAAGTTCAATATATCAATTATGTGCAAATGTTTATGTTGAATGGCTTAAAGTATTTGAAATAACATCAGCTAATTCAAGTTCAATACCACCTATTTTACGTGAAAAAATGGAATTTTATTGGTCACAAATGTTTTGGCATCTTTATCATTTATTTGTTATACATGATGGTAAAAAAAAAAGACAAAAAATCTATTTTAATATAATAGTAAAGAACCGTTTCTTCTTTTTTTTACTATGACTTAGACAAAACAGCAGATTTATTAACAAAACGAATGTATACTCATAAAGTTTTACGTCAGTTACAAATAATGATTAGTCAAACAGAATTAAATTTTGATTTATGGCATATTTTACTTCAAGTATTTTTAGCTATTGGTGATACTGTGCTATCTCCACCTTATCGAAGTATGATTTCTATTTGTTTATGCTTATCTAATTTTATAAAATACTGGCAGCAATTCGAAATTTGAGTAACATTTTTTTGTCATGGCTGAATAGAGCACGTTGAGTTATTTATAAGACGATTATTTTTGTAGTGAAACTTATGAACAAACATGGTATTCGTCATATTATCCGGAAAAAAATAGTGCATGCTTTTCGAACAATATTGTGTTTGATTGTTGAGGAAATGGTTTTTTTTTCCTAATATGATAGTAAAATGAGTTTGTACTGAAACATTTTGATTATCAGAACTTCAGTTTAAAATGAAACAAATATGATGTTCAGAATCAACAGAAAAATCTGTGTTGAATAGTATACTGAATATTTAAAATAAATTTCGGTCCTTACAGTTCAGTATTTTTCATTTTCGAGTATCTGGACCTGTGTTTAGAGTCCATTGACTTAGTCCCTAATGCAAGTCCGATAATTTTGAACCGATAGGCGTAACCTACGCTTTCGCTGCGCTTGAAATACGATAAACAATAGTTTTACGTATCGAAGTAAAATTTAAAAAAAAACGAATTTCAATAAACATTGAGGCTTGGTGTTTTTGGCATATTTCAATTTTTAAACCTAACTTTCACTACAAAAATATCGTTTGTAAATGTTCAAAATAATATGTTCGTAGGAAATTCAATGAGATCTATCTAACTATGAGAAAAAAAATATTTCAAATTATCAATACCTAATCTGTATGTCTAATTTAATAGCAAATGAAGAATGTAGTGCTGTGATGAGTCATCGTCTTGTACCTTCTATTTATCAAGTTTTTATGGTTGCAATTGATAAAATACATATTCCACCAGGATTATGGCGAACATTTCGTGATTATGCTCAAACATGGCGTCATCGACCTGCAGTTATATATGGTTAGATACAAGACATTTTGAATTCGTTTCTATCTCATTTCTATATAGATTGGGCTCAACTTACCTGTGTTCTTACATCGACAGTTGTACATAAATTATGGTGGCCAGATTTAATACCATTACAATATATTTGTAAATAATAAATGTTTTAAACTTTTATTTTTTTTGTTTAAAATCTTATTCATTTTTTTTTTGTCTAGGTACAGAAACTGATCAAAGTGAATATACACAGAAAATAATTGATTCTTTACCATTAGATAAACTTGTTATAACATGGATACAATTTTTAACTATTCTACAAAATCCATCCGAATGTGGTGATATATCAGTAATTTAAAAAAATATCAAATTTAATATAAAAAAGAAAATAAAATATTAATTTCAATATATTTTAAGGTTTTTCTTCGTATGCTACAATATTCTAGTCAATTACAATCTAATCCAAATTTAAAATTAAAAGATTTTACATCATTACAAGAATTACCACGTATATTTATTAATGTAACTAAAGCAATTGGAATGTTTATTGATATATGGTTAGGTAAGATGAAAAATGATTCATTTGATTTGCAAAAAAAAAAAAAAAAAAACATTATCTTTTCGAATTCTTTTGTAGGAAAAGATATTGATCCATCTTGTTTATATAGTCCAAAACCTTCAAATACTTCAATAGTAACAACTAATGAAAATATTTCATCAACACAAAATAATCAACAATCATCACGTCCTAATGTTCAATCACTCCGTGGTATGCCATCAAATAGTCAACAACCACCAATACCTATAACATTAAAATCTAGTAAATCCCAAATTGATAATCGAAAAAGTATAAACTAAAAAAAATCAATAAAAAGAAAAACAATATCTGTCTCTTTCTTTAGTTAACTTACCTTCTAGTCAAAGTTTGTCAACAATAAATCCATTAACTATTTCACCTAATCTATCAGATAAAATCATTTCAAAAACTTCTCGACTTAATCATCCAACTGTAAATAGTCTTATACATTTATATGGCTCATGGATATTAGATTGTTGTTTATTACAAATAAAAGATCGTTATACACGTTCATCAATCAATGATTGTAAGTAGATTAAGTCGTATGTAAATAAAATAACAAAAATGATTGACCTTATTCTCTTGATCTCATGAGATATAAAGAACGAGAAAAAAAAACATTTTTTTTCAAACAAATAAAAAAAGGCCTCCGAAACGTTTCGCATTTATTTTTCGTTTTCTTTCGTTTTGATACGGTTCATTGAGCAATACGTAGATACACATTATAGTGCGTATTTGAAGATTTAAATAGTTATTCATGGCTATACGACATAAACTTTTAACAAGTTTAAGTACGATCAATTTTTATTGATAGAAAGATAAAAACAAAAATTTTTTTTCTATTGTAGCTTCTCGAGCAAATGAAACGGATAAGACCATCGATGTTCAGGTAAAATGAAAAATAAATTGAATGTAATTAAAAAAAAAAGAAAGTATTTTATTCTATAGAATGAACGTTTCATGGATGAAGCATTTGCTAAATCATTTGCAACAATATGTACAATATTTACTAATGTACAATGTGATGAATTTATTCATCCAGAATATTTAAGTAGATTTTATTATGTGTTACAACAAGGTCTTCGATTTTATCAAGGAGATGAGGTAAACGTTCATTTTAATTGTATAGAAATTATTGTTTTCAGAAAAAACAAAAATGAAAATTTTCGAAAAACGAAATCAATGTTTCTTTTCTTTTCTAATAATAGATGATCGGAACACTGTTTACAAAATGTATATTTATTTTTGACGTATTTCCGACGAATCAATAGCTATGAGCTAGGATCAGAGTTTTGTAGTCTGTTTGAGAGACCTGAAAAATTATTTTTTTTTTGTTGTTGATTCTATAAGTCGTTTTGCGAATATACTAAAGATAAATCTTTACAAAATGTGATATTGAGCTAAACATTTCAAATAATATATTTTGTAGGGTAGCTTTCGATCTACAAGCTGATATATAAATGAAGATCCTAACTTTTAGTACGCTCAAATAAAAATTGAGACAAAATTTTTGAGTACATAAAATTCTGATCTTCGCTTATACCTTTTGACTCATTGTAGACACTTCAAAAGTGAATAAATATTATGTCTAAAAGCTTTTTGATCATTGATTATCATGAAATACATGATTAAAAATAATATTCCTCTTGAGAAACGTTTTCCAACAGATTAATTACTTTTTAGTCTAGACTATGTACATCATGCAGAGGCATATGAGTACCATGGTAAGAGTTCGTTCTCTTAGCTTATTGTTTTGGAGACACTGCAATTTTACAATATTTTTTAAAATGAATGCTATGGTCCAAAAAAAACTGATTTTTTTTAATTTCGATTTGACTTGAAACTACTCTCGTTAAGATTTGTTTCAAGTTGAAATTCACAAAACAGGTTTTTAAAACCGATTTCGAGTGGAAAATTTCAGGATACAAATTTGTATTGTCCGTAGTCAAAGAATTAAAAAAATATATTTTGTTTTCCTAATTTAGCAACGATCACAAGCTATAATTGAATCAATATTATTGCATAGTGGAGATTTATTTCGAATTAATTTACGTGGTATTAATATACTTATTCCACTTTATTTGGATGCAATTGAATATTATCTTCAAATTGATGTTCAATCTTATATTAACAATAATATCAATACAACAAAAGGAGCAACTAATGCTTCAATACTTCGTGATCGTTTTATTCGTATTCGTTTAAAATCTATTCAAATACTTATGTCAATTGTTAGTTTACCATTTCATTATGAACATCTTGAACAACATTTATTTGAAGATTATTTGGAAAAATCACATGATGTACAAACAACAACAAAGAAAACATTTTCAGAATATCGTTTAAAAATACTTCCATTATTATTAATTGCTTTACAAACAGAACAAGATATTGTTAATGTACAATCTCTTTTTGGTTAGAAATTTTCATATATAACAAATCAAAATACATATTTGAAATTTTTATTTTCGAATTTTTCATAGGTGTTATTCGATTAGCATGTTCATTAGCTGCTCATTATGAAAAACAACAGAAACAAAACACTACTGATAATGCGAACGGTAATATCTAATGAAACATTTTACTTGAGAAATAAACAAATTCATTAAGAAGAGATGCATTCAGTTTTCTGTTGAACTAATTGTATTTTAAATTATTTCGTGAGACTTCAGATGTATACAAGGACAGAAGACAAAAAAAAGGACAGAGACATATATAAATCTGTAGATAAATCTCTGAAAAAAAGGCTATTGCATCATTCATCAGTTTGTCAACTTCACGTCATAAGCCGACCTAATTTCAATGACAGTCATCATAAAACACAATAGCCTAAACTCAAATCTTAATCACTAAACTAG